AATGTCAGTGCACAAAAATAAATGTCTTCCATAACCCTGTTAAAAAATCTCAAGAAATTTCTGATGTTAAAATCTCACTTCAGAAATTTCTTCACAATTTCTACACCAGCAAAAACGTAAGAAATATGTTATTACAAGCAAAATAAGTCAAAATCATAGTTAAAACAGCTTGTGTCAATTATTGTCTTGCAAGAATTCTGCAAAATTCTGCAACAAGGAGGAGTGCATCGAATAAAAATAATAACGCACTCGATTGACCGTCAGATTTGTGCACTTCTTACGCAAGAGTCTTGCGCACTTGCCTGCACGAAAATCTTGCGCAAATCTGCCGTAAGTGGAAGTGCATCAAGTCAGAATGATAACGCACTCGACTAATCGTCAGATTTGTGCACTTCTTGTGCAAGAGTTTTGCGCACTTACGTGCACGCAAATCTTGCGCAAATCTGCCGCAAAGCGTCTTATGCACTTGTCATGCATCAGAATTACACAAGATCCCGGAAGCAGACCAGGTGCAGACTTACGTACTGCCAGTGCGTAAGATTGTGCTACCAGGGAAATCATTGAGCTCTTGGGATTTATTTTCCTAATAAGAAATTATTTAATACGGCAGGCACTCGATCGGTTGGGTTACAAAGCATTGAGCGCTTGGGATTTATTTGTACGATGCAAATTGAACGTACCCTTTGATTCGCTTTTTTTTTTTATTTGATGCATAAAGTTATGAACTAAAGCAAAATTTGAGCGTGACTATCTGTCTTTTTTTGTCATTTTGCTCGCGAGCAATCAAATGTTTTTTTGTCATTTATGTCGGAAACTGGGGGGGGGGCTGCGCCCCCTCAGTTTGAAAGTTGGGGGGGCTCGAGCCCTCCCTGCCGCCCCCTCCTGGGCGGCCCCTGATTTCAACGATGAATAAATGTTGATACTTTAGATAGAGAATACTCGAAGAAGCCGCGAAAATTTACTTCGACAAAATGTCAGACTAAAAACTTTGTAGTAGATTCTTGTAGCTTGTAGCTTTGGTTACTCATATTATGCTCTGGATGATATTTGAAATAGAAATTTAATACCATGAAAAAAAATTTTTTTTTGAGCCAGTTATGATGGAATCACCCATAGGGATGGAATCCCTACATACACATGAGGTATATTTACAATCAAGTGACGCAAATACATATACCTATATATGCCGCGGCTCTCTTTCGCGCGGGTGGTGTGATGATGGGCGAAGTTATAAGATTAAAAATAGGTGTCATCCATGATGAGCATATGAGCAACATACTTTGTATTTAAAATTTTTCTCTTTGATTGTCTCATTCGCAATCAATCCGCGATTCGTCTCCTTCGTGGCATCGTTCATCATTCTATTTAGAGAGTGTGTAGGTATACTTGAACTTGAACACATCAAGGTAGAGACTCAGAGAGGGGCCCAGGCGGCCAGGCCCCCCCAGAGGCAGAGACTTGACTATTTATATGTATTTGTTGTATTTGTAGTTTTGTACACTTTGTACCTATGTACATAGCATACCTATTTAACAATCAGAGCTCTGATAACAATAATTATCAATAGTGAGTCGGCAAGTCACGTCACTTTATGTATATATATGCAAGTTCACCAAGATCTGTAGCAGAAACAATCGCTCATGAATCACGACCTAACCTCTCACGTCAAAGAGTCTGGGAAAACCTGCGTCAGGAAGATTAGATTTCAAAAGGCTTGAGCCTGATACGTTACAGATTCAAGTATTACTGCTAGTCTCTGAAGTTAAATATGATTCAAGTATAATATCACAAGCACAAGTACTGACGAAAAATTAGCTCGAACATCGTAGAGATGGCCAACACCGGGGTACTACCATTTGTTCGAGGAGTGGACTTTAGCAGAAATGATTTTGGAGTAAGTGCTTATTTTCGTACAGATGGACTTTTTTCCCTATTTGTTTATTATCGACAGTTCAATTGCTTTTAAAGGCGTTTCAAACTTTTTTTATGAGCTGCATTTCTCAAGCATACTTGCTCTTTACAATCAACAAGTTTTGGAAGTCTTTCTAGGAAATATGATATAGTTTTGAATCAAATTGATATTTACTATGATGATAATGATATTAAATTTGTATACTGTGTTTATAGGAGGGAAAATTTCCAGAGTCAGTTCGTTTAATGACAGGAATACAATGGCTGAAACTGGACAATACAAATCTTTCGGAAATTCCAGAAGAAATGGGCAAGCTTTTGAAACTAGTGAGATTTTACTTTTCTAATATACCTGCATACTATAACGTTGGCAAAACATAAACTGTCGAAAGATCATGTTAACAAAATTGATTGCTAAATTTATTTGCAGGAGCATTTATCCCTCACAAGAAATCATTTAGAAAGACTTTTTGGAGAATTAACTGAACTAGGATGTCTCAGAACATTAAATATACGTAATAACAATATAAAGTCCAGTGGAATACCAGCTGAATTATTTCATTTAGAAGAACTAACGACTTTAGATATAAGCAACAATAATTTAAGAGAGATTCCCGAAGGGCTTGAAAGAGCTCGTTCGCTACTTAATCTTAATTTAAGTCACAACCAGTAAGTAAATTAAACTTTTGCTTAATTTGCGATTTAATTGCTTAATTTACTAATTTTATTTATTTCAGCATCGAAACAATCCCAAATACATTATTTATTCATTTAACTGACTTGTTGTTCCTAGATCTCAGTTATAATCAATTAGAAACCTTACCCCCTCAAACTCGTAGACTAGCTAATTTACAAACACTCATATTAAATCACAACCCCTTGGGACACTTCCAATTGAGGTGAGTTTATGAAATTCTTACATCAGGAATATCACATAATTCTGTATTTAAAAAATTAATTTAATTTAGGCAACTCCCGTCTCTAATGAATTTAACAACTCTGCAAATGCGTAGCACCCAGCGCACACTCAGCAATATCCCATCGAATTTAGAAAGTTTGACAAATTTGCAGGAGCTAGATTTATCTCAGAATGACTTACCAAAAGTTCCAGATGCTCTTTATTCGCTTCCAAATCTTCGCCGACTTAATTTAAGTGACAATCAAATTTCGGAACTTTCTACTGCCATAGGTAATATGTAAATATTAAATAGAAAAATTTTCAATATCTATAAATTCAATTTATTTTATTTTATTTTATTTTTTTTAGAAATGTGGCAAAAGTTGGAAACTTTAAATCTGTGTAGAAACAAATTGACTGCAATACCTGTTTCACTTTGTAAGATTTCGTCCTTAAGAAGGTTATACTTAAATGACAATGAATTAGACTTTAAAGGTATTCCTTCGGGAATCGGGAAACTTTCATCTTTACAAGTTTTCTCAGCAGCAAAGAATCGCTTAGAAATGATCCCAGAAGGTCTTTGCAGGTATCATACAATGCATTAAAAATTTTTCTCATTAATTTCCACCTGGTTAATGCAATATTTATTATTTTATTAGATGCGGTTCTTTAAAACAGTTAATTTTAACTTCTAATAGACTGATAACTGTACCAGATGCAATTCATTTACTAACAGATCTAGAGTGCTTAGATTTGAGAGATAATCCAAACTTAGTGATGCCACCAAAACCTACCGAAGTTCAAAGAGGGTCAGGAATCGAATTTTACAATATTGACTTTTCCTTGCAACATCAATTGCGTCTTGCAGGAGCAAACATACCAGCACCTGTGCAAACAGCTAGTAGGAATTCTTCTTGATGCCAAAAGTATAAACTCATGTACTGAAATTCACAAATATAATTTTTTGTAGATAGCAGTAAAGATCCTATAGCTAGAAAAATGCGACTAAGGCGAAGACGAGACCAGGAAGAAGCTGATCAAGATCAAGCTAAGATATTAAAGGTTAATGTTGAAAAAAAAGTACCAAATGTTAATGGGAAAAAAATTATTAAATTAATATTGTTGTTTACAGGGAATGAAAGATGTAGCAAAGGAAAAGAATAAGGACAGCAATTGTAACGATGCAAAAGCTGAATCGCTAAAGTAAGCAAAAGATTATACCCTTACCTAAGCTATGTGATAGTTATTACTTAAAAAAAAAAAAATAATAATAATAATGAAGTAAAATAATAAATGACCTTAGGCCAAAGAGGTGGGATGAAACATTAGAGAAACCTCCGTTGGATTACTCTGAATTTTTCGATGAAGATGCTGGTCAGACACCAGGATTATCAATTTGGGAAATCGAAAACTTTTTGCCCAACCAAATAGAGGAGGTTGCCCATGGAAAATTTTACGAAGGTGACTGCTACATCATTTTGAAAAGCAGCGTAGATGATGGTGGATCTTTTGTGTGGGCAATTTACTTTTGGATCGGAGAGAAAGCCACGGTGTGTTACTACTTTAATGTTAATTTTACTTTTTTGCTTCATATTTTTTGGCGCTTATTGTATGTTAAAACATCGTTGTTGCAGCTCGACAAACGCGCGTGTGCGGCGATTCACGCCGTCAATTTGCGCAATTTTCTCGGCGCGCAATGTCGGACGACAAGAGAGGAGCAAGGAGATGAGTCGGACGAATTTTTGACACTTTTCGAATCCGGCATTACATATATCGAAGGAGGACGGACCTCGTCTGGATTTTATACAGTTGAGGATACGGTAAGTCGCATGATTTTCTTGTTACAGTGAAAGAAATCGAACATCAGTTATTCAACTCATTAAAACTTCATTGGTTCAGCCTTTGGTATTGAGACTTTACCGTGTCCATGCTGCTGGCGCTTCGATTCATTTGGAACCAGTACCTGTATGCCCGGAATCATTGGATCCCAATTACGTATTTGTTCTTGATAATGGCAAAACGATATACATGTGGTATGGAAAAAGAGCCAAAAACACATTGAAATCAAAATCACGATTGATGGCTGAAAAGATAAATAAAAATGAAAGGAAAAATAAGTCAGAAATTATTACAGAAATGATGGGTTCAGAATCTGACGAATTTAGAAAATGCATTGGTGCAAGTGATGTTTTGAAACCAGAGGTATATACAAACTTTTCTTGTATGATGTCTTGTATTAATGATTCACATACCACAAATACTCAACTGTCTTGCAGGAACATGTTGATCCGGAGTTTCAACCTGTGGTTCCAAGGCTTTACCAAGTCCGATTAGGAATGGGATACTTGGAATTGCCTCAAGTCGAGGTGCCCCATGGAAAACTAGTCAATAATCTTCTTAACAATCGTAATGTTTATATTTTAGACTGTTATTTGGATGTCTATGTTTGGTGAGCAAAGTTTATAAAGTACTTTTCTTAGTTGAAGTAGAAAAATTTAATAGTTGTGAGCATAAAATTCTTTTAATGGAATCTTAGGTTTGGAAAGAAGTCAACTCGGCTGGTTCGAGCTGCAGCGGTCAAACTCTCTCAAGAACTGTTCAACATGATTCAAAGGCCAGATTATGCACTAGTGACGAGACTGCAGGAAGGAACGGAGTCACAAATATTCAAATGTAAATTTACTGGATGGGATGAAGTCATTGCTGTCGACTTTACGAGAACTGCAGAATCTGTGGCAAAAACTGGCGCCGATTTGACGAAATGGGCCAAGCAACAAGAAACAAAGGTATTATTAACTTGATAACTTATTGTCTGTTGCTTAATTTTTTGTTTTAAATTGAAATTACGTACTTTTAAACGTACATGGAAAGGTACTATTTAACATGATTTTTTGAACTAATTCAACAATGAATATTACAAATAATTACACTGCATTTTTTCTTACGAAAATAATCTTGTAAAAATCATTTATGTTATAAATCAAATTGTTATTGTGCTTGTTAAGGCGGATCTTGCGGCATTATTCATGCCTCGTCAGCCTCTCATGACTCCAGCAGAAGCACAACAGCTCATGGTGGAATGGAACAATGATTTGGAAGCAATGGAAGCATTTGTTTTAGAAGGCAGGAAATTCGTTCGCCTACCTGAAGAAGAATTGGGTCACTTTTATAGCGGTGATTGTTACGTTTTCCTCTGCAGATATTGGATGGTATTAACATTATAAACTATAATTCTACAAATAGGTTAATTTCCAATTTATTACAATCATACATTTTATTGTTTTCTAGCCTTTAGATGTAAATGAAAATGAAGATGGTGATGAACAGTGTGAAGATGATTTTCAATGCATGGTTTATTTTTGGCAAGGAAGGGACGCTGGTAATATGGGTTGGCTTAATTTTACCTTTAGGTAAGGTGCATAAAGTATAGCTGCATGATCTCATGTAGTTGTAAGAAAAAAAGGATTCAACTTTACAATGTGTTACAGCTTGCAGAAGAAATTTAAATCTCTCTTTCGTGAAAAGTTGGAGGTCGTTCGAACACATCAGCAACAGGAAAATTTAAAGTTTATGGCTCATTTTAAAAGAAAATTCATCATACACGAAGGCAAAAGAAAAGATGTAAAACCTGCTGATGCGAACAAAGTAGAATTTTATCATCTAAGAAGTAACGGCAGTACATTGTGCACAAGACTAATTCAAATCACACCAGATGCGAGTTTGTTGAATTCTGCTTTTTGGTAGGCCTCTTTGATTTTTCACTTATACAAATTTTAAGCAGTATTTAAGCTGATCTACTTGTCTTTTTGTAGTTATATATTAAACGTGCCATTTAATAATGACGATGAGTCAGGAATAGTGTATGTGTGGATTGGCTCGAAATGTGACAACGAGGATGCAAGATTAGTTGAAGAAATAGCAGAGCAAATGTTTAATAATGTAACTTTTTTTTACTGCCGTTTCATCACACTATTAAATTTGTGTTCTTATCGATATACTAAGTAGGAATTTTTTTTTCATTCTAGCCTTGGATTAGTCTCCAGATATTAAATGAAGGCGAGGAACCAGAAAATTTCTTCTGGGTGGCTCTGGGCGGTAAAAAACCATACGAGACTGATGCTGAATACATGAACTATACGAGACTGTTTAGATGTTCAAATGAGAAAGGATACTTTACTATTAGCGAAAAATGCACAGATTTTTGTCAAGTAAGACACAAACATGTTACATGTGTATTGTATATACTAAAACTTTTTCCATTGATTAAATATTTATTGTATTTCAGGATGATTTAGCTGATGATGACATTATGATTCTTGACAATGGTGAACAAGTATTTTTATGGCTGGGTACACGATGTTCGGAAGTTGAAATCAAGTTGGCGTATAAATCAGCACAGGTAATGATTCCAACAGCTGTTAATATGGAAAAAAAATTAAAAAACATTTTGTATTGCTTCTGCAGGTTTACATTCAGCATATGCGTGTTAAACAGCCCGAAAGAATTCGTAAATTATATCTTACCGCAAGAGGAAAAGAGTCACGCCGTTTCACCAAGTGCTTTCATGGCTGGGGTGTGCATAAACGACCTCCAGAGTAAACTTGAAACCAAGTTCTTTATACAGATTATTTCAGATCTTAATCGATTCGTGATTCGATTAACATCAGGTAAGGTCTTCCTTTATGGACGCACAGCAACAGCTCAGTAATGCACAAAAAGTCATAACTGTTTAGTCTAAACAATGGGGCATGTATCTTAATTAAACAAACGATTGAGATGATTGATTACATGTTATTCACGTATCATGTAAATCATACCGTTAAACTGCTAGGAATTAGCGTATGCTTTGAAAATTGGTGAAATTTTAGTGTACACCAATATACATACTAAAATTGATTAGCAGTGTTACCAGCTAGAATTACTTGGAATACGTCATAACTCTGGTGTTTTAAAATAGCTTGATAATCGAAATTGCCTTTAATGCTGTTTGAAATTGTTTATGTTTAAATCCTCTAACATTTGATTATAAAGTATCTCTCATAATTAAATATTGAGACTAACTGAAAAATAAGGGTTTAAAAAAATTTTTTTCCTTAGTATCGAATATAGATAATTTTTAAAATTAAATACTTCATTACTTTTCGATGAAAATCTTGGCTCAATGAAGCAAATTTTGTGAAATTAATTCTAACTAAAAAAAAAGTGTATCAATTTCACTCTTATATTGTTGAAAATACTTATTTATACATTTGAACAAAGCATAGGTGTTGGAATATACAATTGTACGATATTGTTCTGCCGATGAATTAGTTGTATAACAAATTTTAACGAATTTTAACATTTGTAAATATGTATATCCCAAGTGCGAATTTATAAATAGATCTTGTATAAAAATATCAAATTGTTGATGAAAATCGTGTTTTTCATGACCATTTATGACACAATTGTCGTTAAGAAATTTTATGTTTAAGATTCAAAATTGATATCAAGCTGGCTTTGTAAAATTTGTTAACTTTGATGAAATATAATTACAAAGACTATAAAAAATCATACATAGATAGGAGTGATTGAACTAACATAAGATCAGGTTATAATGAGAAAAGAAATAAATCAGACATTCTTGGTTAATGTAAAATATGGATTAATTTATTTACATCTATATTTGAGCTCAAAGCATAAACATTTGTACACATCAATAAATTACGTAATTATCGTTTTTACGCTAACATACATTGTATTTATAAATTAATAAATAAATTTGACTATTGAAGAATTTGTCTTATGTTGATTTTGTGAACGTTGATATACATGCCACAAATACAGCCTTTTTGTGTGCTTCATTGCAGTCAGCAAGTAAACAAGAAACAATTAATCATACAAAAAATAAAGCTGACGTTCACAGATACGTGCTTAGTGTCTTCCGAGTAAAGTACCTATATTTTTTCTGTTGGAAAGGAATTGCAGATTGGATACTGGATGATTCTTGCAGTGCCTATAAGTCTTAATCGTCGTCGTCATCGTCGTCAGAGGGTACAAACAACTCGTTCTCCTCCAAGAAGTTAGCCACGTTCTTACTGATGGTCGCACCGATAAAAAGGCCCGTCGAAACGGCACATATAACTCCCAGGTAACCAAAACGGGGCTTCTGTGGCTCGGGTAGGATGGCTCCGGATGGCGATGTGACCAGCGAACGCATGCAGTAACCCGATGCGATCCCAACTTTAGCGGGCCGAGCTATTTTTAACAAGCTCGTGCCACCTCGCATGAGTGACATCTTGCTGGTTCTTTATTGATCCTTTTGGTTTTTTTGATGAGTAATTATTTATGAAATATATTCTATTGTTTTACGAAGGGCTGTTTAAAGGTGGGTGTGGTCCCGGCTGATGGGTTCCTGATAATCCTGATCCTGAAATCGGGGTTGTGACACTTAATTGTTTTTTCGTGGTCTAAAACTTTTTTGTTTAACTGCACACAGAAGGAGAATAAGAAAATTATAAGAAAGAGTTAGCCTCTCTTACACTGCACTCGCACTAGTGCTCATAGTTAGAATTATAAATACGTCAACCACAAATAAAGCAAGTCAAATAAGTAGGTATACTAGTGTACGAATTACGAGAGTTTTTGACATTACTGATTACTTAGACGCGGGCTACAGGTAAGTATACCTATATATACGTGGTTACACAGTTAGACCGTTAGTTAGAAGTGTTAGAACGTCGTTTTCATTCATATTCATATATATTGCATACACAATACATGCACATTTGATAGTTTGTCTCACACATATATATGGATCATTTCACAAAAAATATATGCGATGTTCCATGACGCCTACTTATGTTACTTTTAAAGCGACGGATTGAATTATTTCGAGTCGCAACTTTTTTTAAACAGTGAAAGCCAATTTCCCCCAAATGTATTTTTGAGATCGAGCCGAAACATTTTTTTGCATGGCCGTAATGTTAAAAAAACCGGCCAAAATGTCATTACCGTAACGCGAAGCATTTTAAAAATTGTACTTTACTTACGTTGTATTATTAATGTTATCGTGATTATTATTATTATTATNAGTAATTATTTTTTGCATAATTCCAGTTTCTTTAAATCTGTGAATACTAAACGAAGGCCGTTAGTGAATTGTTCATCGTAGTCATCGTCGTCGTCAGTATTATTATTATTATTATTATTATTGTTAACGTTATTACTATTATTATTACTATTATTATTATTATTATTATTATTATTATTATTATTATTACCAATATGGATGTTATTGATATTGGTGCAATCAATCTCCATCTTCATATCCAAACTTTAAAAAGTTTGCCGCTAGAAAGAAGTCGATATATGAAATCATCGAGATATCGACTCGACAGTCATCGAGAAAAGAAATATATCGAATAGCGCGATATTTGCGCTTTTTGGCGCGTTAATTAACGATTACGGTTACGGAATGATCACAGAGTTCATCAGAACGGATCAGAAATCAGAAGGGATCTATTCCTGTGTCTGTTCGTTTTCATCCGTTGTTGTATGATCAACTTTTATCTTTTATAGATTCTATTGTCCAAGAAGCCGTTGCCGTGCGTCGTGTTTCCTGTCTCTCGTGATACTGATGGTAGGTATTTAGGCATTTTGATGTCGTAGAAATAAATTAATAATGGACGCAAGTTCACTTCTCAGTTAGCGTAGTTCATTCAGAGATTCAGAAGTCTGTTGTTCTTTCTACGATAACCTTTAGCCATCACGACTGAGACATACCGTAATACATAAAATGAGCCACGTGCACAACTGTTTGGCGCCATCAGTTATTAATAATTGTTAATCAAGATATATTACAACAACGCTCTCAAGTGCAGTAGCACCAATATACTTATACGGATTTTCAGGTACGTTTTTATATTGACGAAATTCAACAAATTGTTTGGTACACAATCCACACTGATCAAAATGCACCTTGTTCAAAAAAATACATATAATACATCTTAGGATTAAAAATCATAAATATATTTGATATGTTTAAAAAATCACAAACTATGACAACAATGTAGGTTCTATTTTCATCTTTTTAATCGGTCAATGAGTTTAAATGGATTTTTAATACATTTACAATGTTTCTGTGTTCATAATTTGGTTTTTCTAAGTCTGTAATATCCTCAAAATTGTTTGAAAAGTGTTACAATTTATTTTACTTGAAAAAAAATTTCGAACATTCCGTCAACTTATATATATTCATATCCGTTTGTATTAAAGCTGTTTGCACAAGGCTGTCAAGCTGTGAATACAGTAGTATATAGTATAGCTGCCCAACTTTTCGTTACACTGCTAGGGGGAAACATAGTCGCTTACCTTTTTCTGCAGTTATTAATTTGAAGTCCGATTATACCCAATTTTTAACAATAACTAAAAATATAGAGGTTTTATCCTAAAGACACCTGTATACTGTTACACTTGACACTTTCGTTTAAGATTTTACATTTAATTGATCGGTCTTATTACAGTGACTGTAAGATTACATACATAAAGATCTAACTTTAAGCTTGAATACCTATCTGGAAATGTTGTTATCAGATCAAGGGTATAAGAACCACTAAATTCAGCATGATTAAAAATATTACATAGCATATGTCTAGATTTGCGACTCTAGATTGCTGGAACCTCCTTAAATAGCGATAAGCAAGGCAGGGAGGGTACAAGAGAGTTAAATTCTTTAGTTTTACATTAATAATTTAGCCACTCATACTTACATTAATTTGATGATCCTTGAAAACATTCATGATCAATTTAATTGGTTAAAGCAACATTTTGTCGAACATTTATGGAAATTGTTATTTGATTTACCTACAGACCTACCTTCGAACAAAATTCATAATACGTTAAAAACACAATTGACAGTTAATCATTTGTCATGATTCAAAACAACATGATAGTTTAATCAACCACTAATGGTACTTTCCAGGTACAGAACGTGCAATTTCAATCACGATATTAGATACTTATTCTTGGACTTTGAAGTATTTTAAATAAGATGTCTGCTAAATCGAATGCAGATGATAATTTGTTGAAATTAGCCATTTTCAAGAAAGAGTTAGTAAATTACCCTGTTAGGAGTGATATACGAAATCTTTTAAACAAGTCTGACATTAATTATGCTGTGTCACTTGGTAATTCCGGTAGATCCCATTGCCAAAATCAATGGCTGGGTAACACAGCTCTACATTTTGTTGTAGAAACATATTCATGCAATTTAAAGCTATTGGAATTCATGTTGAATCTTGGTGCCGATGTCACTTGCAAAAATAACCATGGTTTCACTCCGCTGCATTTAGCCTACAGAAAGAATTCAAATAAAGATGTGATTGATTTGTTACTAGCGGCTCAGATCAAATTTAATAATAACAAAAATCCTACCTCTAAAGACAATATATCCCACATGCACATTGCCTGTGTAATGAAGAATTTGGAAGCTGTAAAATTTTTTTTGAAAAGTGGAGCCCAAATAAACGAAGCAATCAGCAACGACTCAAAGTTATTTCCTGCTTTGACACCTTTACACTTGGCCATACACAATGGTGATGAGAAAATGGCCCATCTTCTCTTACAGCGTGGTGCTGATTACAACTGCGTCAATGCCCGTGGGATGAGCCCAGTGCATTTGTTGATTGAAACTCAAATTTATTTCAATTCTTATACGGGATCAAGTAATGTTCGGGAAAGAAGACTCCGAAGTAATGAGAGAATCTACAACATGATTTTGAAATCGAGCGAATATGCATTCAGGGCTACCGACAGTATTGGGTTGTCTCAGTTCCATACATATTGTACGATAATTTACAACTTTGAATTCGAAGAGTGGAACAAATTTTTAAATAGTAATGTGGATATCAATGCCTCGTTAAGTTCAAGTTCTCCAGTATGGCCTAATTATACACCATTACATTTTGCTGCACATTGTAATTTGAAAACAGTACTATTACTCTTGAGCAGTGGAGCAAATCTAATGGCCAAGGACGCAAAAGGCAAAACTCCGCTTGATATATGTCTTGAAACTTACAGTCCATTGGAACTGAGCACCATTTTTAAGACTCAAAAAGATGGAATTGGCGCCATCAAATTTCAAAATGGCGAGAATTTAGCAGATGTCATTGCAGAGTTAGATACTGAAAGCAAGTTGACGACCTATCTGACAAATCCAAACGTTTATGTCAATAATGCCATCTCAAATGACTCGATCCTCTGGCCAGGCTTCACTCTGTTACATTTGGCTGTTATGCTGTCACCAGGAATGAATAGATCTAAAGTCTGCGTGTGTCTAAGACATAATGCTGATATCACGATTAGAGATGCCAACAATATGACTGCCTTTCATCTAGCCTTTCGTTTGGGAAGAAAGAGATGTGTTCTAGACATTTTAAACTTTCACCATTCATTTCCCGCCAATCCCGTTGACAGTGAAAACTTGTCGCACTTTCACATCATTTGTTCAGCTTATAATGGTGCTACGAAAAAAATGGTTGATAAGTTTATGATAAATGATCCGAGCCCCAACGAAGCGATGCCAAGTAGTACAAGTTTTAAGTGGACTATAACTCTGTCTAGTCCCGTGAAACACACCGTCATACCTGCTGGCGCAAGACCCCTTCATATTTCCGCTGCTATAGAACATCCACAATTGGCAAAGTTACTTCTTGAGCACAATGCTGATTCCAATCTTCTTGATGCTGAGGGCTATACATGGTTGCACCGAGCATTCATGAATCTCAAAGGTTCGTCTCTCAAAGAGTTCGCGTCTCTGTTCTGGCTCGATGACAAATCTTTGGAATCAAATCACACGGCTCCAGGTAAATTGTCTCATTTTCACGTAGCCTGTTATGCTATGAATTCAAGAGCTGTCAAGGCATTGCTACCACTCCAAGATAACATAAATGAGCCCATCAGTAGCGAAGTAATGAAGCATGTCAAAAATCCTAATATATGTTTAGGAGATACTCCATTACATTTGGTAATTAAACACTTGGACATTTATTCTACCCAGTACTCCGAGCAAATCATTGACTTGCTCTTGACAAATGGCGCTGATGTAAGAGTCGTAAATCAAAAAGGCCTGACTCCTTTTCATGAGCTTTTACTGAAACGTAATACTGGTCACGAATTAATCGAACGTTTAGCTTTAGAATTTTACAAGAAAAAAAGGTGGATTGATAAAACTGGACTTACACAGTTGCACGTAGCTTGTGTTTTGAAGGACACATCGCTAATAAAAAAGTTGCTTGGAAAACAAGAAGGTATCAACAGCCAGATCAATAGTGATTCGCCACTATGGCCTAGCACAACTCCTCTTGACCTACTACTCAGAAATGAATATCCAGAAGTTGATGAAGCTGTGAAATTGGTACTCAATCGTATGATTCAATGTATCGAAGACTCGCTTGAAGTTAATGAAAGATGCACTCGTAAGTTTGAATTAAAGTTCAATTATTTTTACATAAAATTTTTTAAGATTTAAATAACAATACAACTGTGCAATACTGTTTATGACTATCCAGTTTTTCAGTCGATCAGTTATTTTATTTTTGTTTGATAAACTAGGATCAGCCAAGTATCGAAAAACTGAATTAAAGGCACAATGCCAATGTTATTTTGTCAACCAAGATGGACTGTCAGCTTTCCATGTGAGCTGCATGGGAAAAGATCCTATTATTGTTGAAAAATTTTTTAAATTGGGTGTTGACATTAACGAGCCCAAAGATTATTTTGCGTCTTCAGATGCTGGTTATACTCCTCTTCACTTTGCAATAAAATATTCAAGTAGCCAAGCTGTGCTGGAGTTGCTGTTATCGCATGGCGCTAACATCAATCTAGAGGACTCAAATGGTTATACATCTGTATACGTGGCTGCTGTAAACAAACCAGAAAATATCAAAACTATTTCTAGGTAATTCATGCTCATATCATTGGGTATGGTTAATTTTTTGATATACTTATAGAGGCAAAACCTTAAAAGTCTTATAATGTATGTATTAATATCAGTAGCCAACAAAGTTTAACATTCTTGCTTTGATACTAATCTTTAAAAAAAATCGCATTTTAATAATTAACCGTTAATCAATGATGCAAAATGTAAAAATAAAATGAAATGCCGTAAAATGCAATACTTACGCAGTATTTAAAATTCTAACGAAAAGCTTAAAAATTCTAACGAAATCAACACTGATGATTCTATCATGTATAATGCATTATTTAAAATTTTTCAAAGTCATTTCTCATATATTTTTAATTTTCTTGACATTTTTTTTAACTTTAATTCAGTTAGTTACTTAATTTGGCTCAATTACAAGTTTAATAATACACAAATTTTATCCGTAATATGTACTTTGTATAAATGAGAAAAGTGTAAGCACGTGTTTCTTGTTTATTTATGTTGTTGTTTATGTATATTTTTGTTGAAAAATAATTTTTAGGCCTCTGATTGTATTAAATTTAAGTCACAGCATGGGTTGTAGCTTGGGAATAACGTTCTTGCCATTTTTTATTTGTATATTAACCCACGTATGTGCATGTTTTTTTCTCACAGATATGGAACAATCGACATCTCAAGTAAAAACTCGTTTGGTTACACTATCCTTGATTTACTTTTGAGATGTAACGAGGCAAGCAATAAATCATTTTTGTATCTTCTTAAATATGGTACAGGAATGGAAAATGTTGAGTTAACCGTTAAAATTAATCTTGTAAAAAAATTTGTGCATACTTTTGATTACCTCAGTTGCAAATCATTATTTAAATTTATACCTGGTTTGGATGCCGTTGATGATAGTAATCGCAATTTCATTCACCATTTCATCACGAACAACACCTACGATTTCAACAAAATCGCTAATAACATTGAGTTGCTCATTAAACATGGCTGTAAACTTGATCATCAAGACAAATCAGGTAAGCTATGAATAAAAACGTGTTTATTTTTTCTAATCAAATTATGTGAAAAAGACTATTTTTTTATCCTTTTTTATTTTAGGAAAAACACCTCTTCACCTTGCAGTGATTTCACAATTGCCAGACAATATAAAGACCCTACTATCAGTTGGAGCTGATGTAAATATAAAAGACAAACAAGGACAAACTCCGTACATGTTATGTTTCACCAAAATAAAAAATGAACACCACTTGAGCATAATATGCAGTGCATTTCACAATCATGTGCTGAATCTTAAGATCCTTGGCTTGTACATTGATCCCAAAAACGAAAATTGCTATGAAAGAACAGTGTGTGCACAAAAAAGAATGTTAATTGTATTGAATCAAAAATATTTAAGAATCAATTGTAAACGAATGAGTTTGCGCGCGTATTTTACAGAAGTTATACAAAAGTTTACTTTGATGCCTTCTCACCATCAACTTGCAATTTATAATTTTTTGGAGAAAAACAAGAGAATAAATTTATTTTCAGAATGGTCAATCCTCAAAACACTTTTAAAACGAATATGTGAAAGAAAAGTTTTATTTGAATCTGCCATTGATGCTTTGCATAATCTCCTTGACCCACGGTTAGCTCAACACTGTTTGGAGTCTATCTTATTAAATTTACCAAACCAAGATTTAAAAAACATAATTCATGCGCTATAATAAAGACTACTCATATTTGATCGTGTGTTCACGATTTGATAATTAAAAATAATATAATACGAGATAGAAAAAAACCAATTTTAATTAGAAAATTTTATGAATGTAATGTATTTATTTAGTTCAAAAGCCTAAGAACATTTGTAAGACATTTATTGTAAAATGTGTTAAACTTTAAATAATGTGTGAAGTGAATATTATAAAATATTCAAATTAAAATAGATTTCACCAAGTATCAAGTACTTTGCATTAATTTTTAATATAATGCAAAAATCAAATCAATATTTATATTTACTTTTTTTGAGTTTATCGGAAACATATGCTAGCATTAAACAATTTTTTATTTTTTAGTTTTATATTAAAACATGCATTGTAATATTCTATGCTTATTGATATCTAGCATAAGTCACTCATTAATGTTCAAATCTATGAATTGGAAAAATTCGCATCGCTTACTCAAAAATTATTTATGACAACCAACAGGTGTATCTAGAAAAAAAAAAATGTTTAGATGGTGCAAAGAAATACTATTTGTGATCTGTTAAAACAACCTGTATTTGTCTAGAAATTATTAATTTTATATAAATAACTTTTTATGAAATATCTACTTTACTCAATGGCTCTTGTTTATTTTTAATATACCCCTGTAACAAGTAAATCAATTTTCCTGTAACTCTCAGCTCTCAGTAATTCTAAGATAAGTGGTAAAAGAAATTAAGTTTTGTTAAATTATGTTAAATAAGTCACGGCCATTTTCAGTGTGGTCTAGAAATACCCAAGAAATTATAAATGATTCGAAATTTCAAATATAAAAATTACTATCAGTAATCAAGTAGCGCGATTGTGCAAGCAAGTTTTAAAAGTCCGCCACGGCTCCCGTGTACCCTATTTACTTCTAAGTTAGGATTTAAAAGTTTCAATCAACGGAAATAAATATTTAATACAGTATTTTATTGGGATTATTTCGATATAATGATCGTTTTTTCATTCATAAAAAACAACAATTTAATTAAAAAAACTAACTGCTCTCGAGTCTCGCTATCATATATAAATAATAATTTTGATTAACAAAGTGCGCTTAAGGTAGTTGTACAGCAAATTGAAATATAGGATAGAAAATTATGATATTTTGCAGGATGGTAGATTAATGCATAAAAATAAGAAATCTAAATTTTTGTGACCCGAGGGTACCTATAAAGGGAGATATTCATAATTATTTGCATGCCTTGAGTTTTTGTTTACATGCCAATTCAACATGGCGTCTTATGGGAAACCGCGGAGCTGTCTGTATATTATCATTCATATCGTTGCTAATATAGGATAGGTTCTGATGCCCTTTGGACAGTAGAAAGATAATTAAATGACAATTATATATTCGCTTTCAAAACCTTCCAAGGGTACTTGTGAGAAAAGTAATTAAATAGTAAAGCGTGAAGAACGTGCATTTGTGAGACGCTATTTGAAAATATGGCAACGCCGCATAATCTGATATTACGCGCGCGGTTTGAAAGGTAAATAGGTACATATGATTGCTCGTAAATCCTGATTACTGCAATCTCTCTTATAGATTTTCAATTATTGTTATAGGACGTATATTTTAAATAAATATGATAAATAAATATATAAATAATAAAACGAACTGATATACAAAGAACATCAAAACAATTTTATTGCCATATATTACTTAAAAATGAAATAAACATGTTATAAATTAATATTTATGTAATAAATATTTAATATTTATTTTTTAAATAATTAAATAGCCTATTTTTAACTTTATTATTTTTAGTTACTCGTGCATTATATACTTTCTCGCTTACCCTTACACCTTTCCAAAAAAACTTCTTATTTTTTTCTTTGGGCATGACTATTTTATTAACTAAAAAAAAGATACACACGCTTCTCCTTTTGCTACAGCTGATCAACGAAGTGCTCCTTCTATGATGCTCTGAACACACACTTACAGGCACACACACATGACCGCAAAGCGACGTTGCCAGATCGTTCTACTACACAAATCAAAAAGTTTCATGACTCTTGCGGTACCTGTACAACTACCTTAACCAAATGACAGTGCGCTCGAGTTTTCTCGTTTTTCATAAATCATAGCATGAATTAATAAACGAGTAACATAAATTAAATGGCACAGTGGACTTGAGTCGGATTTAAATAAATAATAACGTTTATTATAATAAACGTGGGCCATTAATTAAGTGACCCATAGTGCTTAAGACTTATTCATTTTAATGAATGATGAAAGTAAAAATTAACCACATTACTTGGTGTGCTCAAGTTTTCTCATTTTTAATAAACAAATTTATATTCATAAGAAAACAATAAGCGCCCTTAAGTCAATGATAAAGTACGCTCTAGTCTTGTTATTACCAACAAAAAATAATTTGAACTAGCAGCCCCCCGTCTCGGCTTCGCCCGAGACTTACTAAATAAAACACCGTAGTGTGTTGACATGTAATGTGAAACATTTTCAGTTAGAAATTTTACACATATTCCTGATACATCT